TCATCTTCTGAGAACAGATGATAGGCAGCAAGAAGACAGAAATGTGGCATAAAGGATGATACAAGGCAAGAAAAGGGTCTAGTAAGAAAGGTCAGGAGGCCTAAAGAAATTACCATAACCATGCTGAGAATAAGATGGTGCTTCTGGCTGGGAAAAAGTACTAGCTGCTCACATTAGATAGTTCTTCGGCTTTCCAGGAGCTCCCTCTTCGGGCCATTGCTATTAAACCTAGGTTGGAGTCATGGAGCAGAGCATACAGGCATCATCAGCCAGTAACCTCTCCAGCTCTGGATGAGTGAACAAAAGCTGGTAATGAGATTAGGATGTTCGTTGTTGTTGTTGTTGTTGTTTTTGAGGTGGAATCTTGCTTTGTTGCCAGGTTGGAGTGCAGTGGCGCAATCTTGGCTCACTGCAACCTCCACCTCCAGGTTCAAGTGATTCTCCTGCCTCAGCCTCCCAAGTAGCTGGGACTACAGGTGTGTGCCATGATGCCCAGCTAATTTTTGTATTTTTAGCAGAGACGGGGTTTCACCATGTTGGCCAGGATGGTCTTGATCTCTTGAACTCTTGATCTGCCCGCCTCGGCCTCCCAAAGTGCTAGGATTATAGGCGTGGGCCACCACACCTGGCCAAGATTAGGGTGTCTTTTATAAGAGCTTAGGTGTAACTGACTGGCTATAGGCTGGCATGAGCCCGTAACTAGGCTAGTAAGTGGCAAATAAGAGAACAGCAAGGTTTCCATAATCTGCCCCTTCTTTCTCCCCTTGGCTCTCCCTTCTTACTTCCCCACAGTGACCATGAGGGTGGCAATGTAAGTGCCCATACCAGCCACTTGGTGGGCAGTGCCCTTTCAGACCCTTACCTGTCCTTTGCAGCAGCCATGAACGGGCTGGCAGGGCCTCTCCATGGACTGGCAAATCAGGTAAGACTATTCTTTTTTATTTTCCTGCTACATGTTTTCCTTACCCCATGCTTTGTTTCTGATCTTGGCATTGTCTCCTGGCATATGTATTAACATGCCCTTTTTTCCCAAACCTTACCCATAGGAAGTGCTTGTCTGGCTAACACAGCTGCAGAAGGAAGTTGGCAAAGATGTGTCAGATGAGAAGTTACGAGACTACATCTGGAACACACTCAACTCGGGACGGGTAAGCAGAGATGCTTAATGACTAGGAAAGAAACCAAGACCCAAGTTCTGCAGTTTGGAAGAATTAAGAAGAAAAGAATGAAAGAGGTCCCTAAATTAGAGATTTTTTTTTTTTTTTCATTTATCTACTGAAGAATTTAGAACAGAATTTCTGGTTGGGCACAATGGCATGCACCGGTAGTCCCGCCTACTTGGGAGGCTGAGGCAAGAGGATTGCTTGAGGCCAGGAGTTCAAGTCTGAAGTGTGCTAAGATCACTCCTGTGAATAGCCACTGCACTGCAGCCAGGACAACATAGCAAGACCCTGTCTCTAAAAAAAGATTTTAAATAGGTCGAGTGTGGTGGCTCACGCTTATAATCTCAGCACTTTGGAAGTCCAGGATGGGTGAATTGCTTGAGCCCAGGAGTTTGAGACCAGCCTGAGCAACATAGACCCTATCTTTTTTTTTTTTTTTTTTTTTTTTTTTTTTAAGACAGAGTCTCGCTCTTGTTGTCCAGGCTAGAGTGCAGTGGTACAACCTTGGCTCACTGCAACCTCCGCCTCTCGGGTTCAAGCGATTCTCCTGCCTCACCCTCTCGTAGCTGGGATTACAGGCATGCACCACCATGCCCAGCTAATTTTGTATTTTTAGTAGAGACGGGGTTTCTCCGAGTTGGTCAGTTGGTCAGGCTAGTCTCGAACTCCCAAACTCAGGTCATCCGCCCACCTCAGCCTCCCAAAGTGCTAGGATTACAGGCGTGAGCCACCGCACCCGGCCAGACCCCATCTTTACCAAAAAAAAAAAAAAAAAAAAAAAGCCAGGTGTGTTGGTGTGCACCTGCGGTCCCAGCTACTCTGGAGGCTGAAGTGGGAGGATTGCCTGAGCATGGGAGGTCGAGGCTGTCATGAGATGTGATCATGCCATTGCACTTCAGCCTGGGTGACAGAGGAGTGAGATCCTGTCTCAAAAAATAGAAGAGTTTCTACTGAGAATACTATCTTTTTTCCCCACTCTTTACAGGTTGTTCCAGGCTATGGCCATGCGGTACTGAGGAAGACTGATCCACGATATACCTGTCAGCGAGAGTTTGCTCTGAAACACCTGCCTAATGACCCCATGTTTAAGTTGGTTGCTCAGCTATACAAGATTGTGCCCAATGTCCTCTTAGAGCAGGGTAAAGCCAAGAATCCTTGGCCCAATGTAGATGCTCACAGTGGGGTGCTGCTCCAGGTAAGTCCTCCTTTCCCTCTTTTCCCTCTAATTTGTACCAAACCCTATTGTTATCTGCCATGAACAAAGTCAGTTAACTCCTAGTCAGAGCAAGGACTTCCTTCACAGAGCATTTTGATAAAGTTGACTATGACAGGGTCGAGGGTTGGGGTTGCTCTGTTTTCAGAATCCCAATTGCTATACTTTTCTCAGTGTCATTTCTATTTAAGGTTGACTGGGCTAAGTCCTTGGAGAAAAACAGAAAATTGAGCTTTTAAGGTTTCTATCACCCAGGACTTGTACATGCCACTGCCTCTGCCTCTGCCTTAAACCCTTTTTCTCTTCTACTTTACAGTATTATGGCATGACGGAGATGAATTACTACACGGTCCTGTTTGGGGTGTCACGAGCATTGGGTGTACTGGCACAGCTCATCTGGAGCCGAGCCTTAGGCTTCCCTCTAGAAAGGCCCAAGTCCATGAGTACAGAGGGTCTGATGAAGTTTGTGGACTCTAAGTCAGGGTAAAACTGGAGACTGGGGGAAAGTGACTACCAGAAAGTGAGGAAGCCTAAATAAAAAGTATACTTTTGTTTCAGGGGGCCTTTAAAGACATAAGATTAAATTATATCTGAGGCACTGATAATATGTTTGAGGTTAAAATATAAATTAAGACTTTAAAAGATGAAAAATGATCCCTTCTTCCCTAATCAGCTCCCTTCCCCTGCTTGGTATGAGTTGCCCATCACAGGGGTGGTCCTGGAGGATGACGAGGACTAATGCCTGTGGTATGAGTAGGTTTGGCCCCCTCACTATCTCTAGAGTGAGAATCTGCCTCCTGTTTCCATGGGTCAAAGCCAGTTGCAGAGAACCTGCAGTCACTTCGGAGCTTTAGCTTCTTCTCTGCCAAGCCCTCAATAAGCCAGCAAACCAGGACTCTGCCCCTTCTGTTTCCATAGGAATCGTGTTGGATAGTCAGCTGTACCAAGCCCCTTGGCACTCTCCCATACACACAAACACTTTCTAGCAAGACCTGTTGGTTAGGTGGACATGCTTTGGCAATTTTTTTATACTATCAAGTGACCATAAAGGCATGGCATTTGTTGTGACTGGCACCCAATGTTTGGTTTCTTTTTTAAAAAACTATCCAATTAAGGTCTGGGAGTGTTCTGTTTCCCATTACTTTAATACTCACCTCCTCCTCCCAGACTTTCTACACCTGTTGCACCTCAGGCTGAGGATGTTCTGGACCACCCCTCTTGGTCCCTGCTAGAGACCTCTCAGATCTGTGGGCCCAGTCATTGGGTTTTATCAGTGCTTAATGTGAACTAAGTTTTTTACTTCCATAGAATACAAGCCACTATCCTCTGATCTCCCCACCCGCCACCAACCCCCGTCTTTTAACATGCTGTGTGGCATAGAACAGGGACTCAGGAATGACCAGCATGATATTTTCAGGGTCTTGTCCCTAGGGTATTAGCACCTCTTTTTGAACAGATAATTGATTCAAGATTGGACATGGTCTCCTCTGATTATCAGGTACTGGGGCTGAGGGCATTAAAAATAGTAAACCTCCCTCCTCGTCCCCTGCCTCAAGAAAATGCCTCCTTATTTATCAATATCCTTTTCCTCCCTTTCCCTGAGAGCTCACAGTACAATGTTTGTTTTAGAAGCCCCATTTGCACAGGTTTTCAGCAACTCAGAATGTTCTACTTCCTCTTCTTTGAGAAAGGATTGAGATACACTCCTGCTGTGCCCCCATCTTTCCTCCAAACTCCTGCCTGTGTTTGTGTGGATACCCAGTCCCAGAACCACACTGTTGAGTTGGACACACTGTAAACCCCTGGGTAAATGTCAAGTCATGATGCAAACTTCAGGTTGTTCTGTATAAAATGCAAAATAAATGTTTTTATTAACAATGCTTGAGCCTACTATTAAATAAGGCCTGGAAGAATCTTTATTATGAGGTAAAGAATCTAGCTAGCAAGATCCTAGCTAGCAAGATCCTGAACTTAGTGGGTTATAAGTAATCTGTATCCATTTATCTTTAGGCAGGTTTGACTCTTTTACCTTAACCAGAGGAAAGCCTCCCTGAGAGATTTCCAAAGGAGGTTTCTGTCCTTCCTCAAGGTTAGGAAGTCCTTGATGTTTAGCCCCTAACTTTGCTAATTTTGTCTAAGGTAACATACTCAAGGGCTATAGCTGAGACTCTCAATTGCTTATGTGACTAATCCAAGAACTGGTCTAGCCCACTGAGAAAGGAACAAACTGTACCATGGACGAATGGGCTAGTACTGCTACCTCAGGACCAGAGCCACTAGAGGGCTCTGGTACTTCTTGGCGTGCCTGTTCTTTACAGCTTCCCTGAAGGAGGTCCCAAAAATAACAAGAGGTGGTCCTGAGGGCATCACATATATGGGAGGTCCGAGACCAGATGATTCTGTCCTGAGATCCCTGCTGCAACTGACCTTCTGAAAAAGTCTATAAATAGGCAAGGGGGTGGGTACTAGGTCCTGGCTTGTAGAATGTGCTACTATAGTTAGCAGGGACACTGTGTCCAAGAGGCCTTCTTACACCTTCACTCCCCCAGGAAAAGAAGCCATAACTTCCTTCTACTCTATTATATCTACATTATTGCCCCAAGAAACAATATAATAAAGCCAAATTCACACTGTTACAATTTATTGAAATTTTATAAAAACTCAGGCCAAGTGGAAGAATAAGGTACAACTCAAGAGTACAAAGACAACTCCGTTTCCGTTCAGTACTTTTCTCCTCAGCACTGATGGTAAGAAAGCCCCTTGCTCTCTAGTAGCCAGGCAGCATGGACTTAGAGTCTTAAAATGAGGCTTTATGTATCTCAGGCTGGAGGCAGGTTGCCTTTTCTCCTGAGGAATCTCAGGCAGGATAAAAGTTCCTTACCACTCAGTACCTCTGTGCCAGAAGAAAAGCTCAATTTATTCAATCCTTAGAAAAGTTACTATCTTCCCCTGGTCAGACACTAAGGTGTCTTGATAAGGCCCAGAGACAACCACATAGTCCTTATTCTAATTCGTAGTGAAAAGGCTGCATATGGTGCTCCTCCAATGGGCCTGACCCTTTCCTAAGCACCTCTCATTTCCACATCCTTTGCCTTCTCTTTCCCCTAACATTTCCAGCCAGCATAGAACCCAATTTCTGGGGAATTGAGAGGAGAAACAGTATTACGAACACAGACTCCTTTCAAATTGGAGCAGGAGCCAAACCAAATAAATAAGAGAATTGCGAAGGGAAGTGGGGTAGAAGGGAGGTCAGGGAACAATCCCGTGCCTCAAGTCTGGTGCACTTCATGGAACATCAGTTCACGGGGGATGGCTGTTTCTGGACCAAACTTGGTGGCTGCCCGACGCTCAAAGGCAGCAACATTCTGTTTGACAACCTCATCAAAAAACATGGTGGCCAGCTGGGAGTGCAGCAGAGAACGAAATTCAAAGGAAATCTGGGGACGGGTAAGAGACAGTCAGAAACTTCCAGACAATGTTGGATAGTCCCTGGCCAAATGCAAGGGGGGTTACTGTTCCTCAGTGCCTTTTCTCCCCCTTTCCATCTAGTTCGTTGGATCCCCTTAAGAGCCCTAACTTGGGACTGAGCACAGAATACAAGTCTGACACAAGCTCAGACCTGTGGAAACTAACTAACTTGGGAAATGCTAGCTATACTTAAAAGAATAACCCTGTCAGGTTGGTGCAGTGGCTCACGCCTGTAATCCCAGCACTTTGGGAGGCCAAGGCGGACGGATCACCTGAGGCCAGGAGTTCGAGAGCAGCCTGGCCAAAATGGTGAAACCTTGTCTCTATTAAAAATACAAAACTTAGTTGGGCTTGGTGGCAGGCACCTGTAGTCTCAGCTACTTGGGAGGCTGAGGCAGTAAAATCGCTTGAACCCGGGAGGTGGAGGTTGCATTGAGCCAAGATCGTGCCATTGCACTCCAGCCTGGGCGACAGAGCAAGACTTCATCTCAAATAGATAAATAAATAACCCTGTCACAGTACCCCAGCCCTTCCCCATACCCAGTCCTAGTCCTCTGCTACACAACCTCCTGACTCACCGAAAAGTCCACAGTGCAGGTTCGAGGATAGGCAGGAATACCAGGGCTGAATCGCCAAATGGTCTCTAAGTGGTTGAAGAGCTTGCCATCAGTACAAACAGCCTAGAATAGGATAATCAGGTAGTTAAATAACATTACTAAGTATAGGATACAATATAAAGGAAAGCCATTTTCCTTCTTTCTGGTATTAGGGAAATACTTGACACATGGAGATAAAATCATCACAAGGAAGGCCAAAATAGCACTTTAATATGAAACTGCTAAAAAGAAAAAATCCAGTCCATCCCTCTCATACAGGCCTCACCTTGACCATGTGAGGTTTGACCATGGAAACTGCAGAGGTGTAACGTTCCATGACAGGTGGAAAGCCAACCTCCAGCTGGGCTTTCAAGTGACCCTTACGGCTGGATACCACTAGAGACTTCTTACACCAGGGCACAAACTCACGATACTCCTGGACATTGGACACCACTTCATACATCTCCTGCATTGAGTACCTAGGAGAAGAAGAATCACAGGCCAAGGAGCTGCCAGCTGGGTCAGGTTCCTCCTTGCTGTAGGCCCCTAATTCATACCTTTGCCCACTAACCATGCACCTTCAGGAACTAGAGATCCCAAATAAGCCTGGATGAATAACTTCCCAAAAGCAAATGTGCAAATCCTTATGATATCGTTACCTTATATTTTGCAGTTTACAGAATGCTTTTGCATTCATTATTTTGATTTTAAGAGGGACCATCTAGGGAAAACAGAGAGGCTGTCAATTTTACTGGTGATCACACAAGGATCAGATCCCAATTCTAACAATTTTTTAACAATGTAGCCTTAGGTAAATTACCTGTGTCTCCATTTTCTCACCTGATTTATAGGTTTGTTGTGAGGATTAAATGAGAAAAATCTATGTAAAATATCTAAGTCAAGCTGCTAGCATGTAGCAAGTGCTCGATAAGTTAGCTATTATGCTCAAAATATATTTAAAAGGTTACGCTGCAAATATTTACACATACTATGTACCCATAAAAAATGTTAAATGGTCACCAGAAAACACCCTGTTTTTTGTTTGTTTTGTTTTTTGAGACAGTCTTGCTCTGTCGCCCAGGCTGGAGTGCAGTGGTACAATCTCAGCTCACTGCAACCTCTACCTCCCAGGTTCAAGCGATTCTCCTGCCTCAGCCTCCCAAGTAGCTGGGATTACAGGCACCCACCACCGTGCCAGGCTGATTTTTATATTTTTTTTTTTCAGTGGAGACAGGATTTCACTATGTTGGCCAGGCTGGTCTCGAACTCCTGATCTCAAACAATTGGCCACCTCAGCCTCCCAAAGTGCTGGGATTACAGATGTGAGCCACCGCACCCAGCTACGCCCTGTTGTCTTAAAGTATAGTCCAACCCTAGTTTCATTTCACTTAAGCACATGCACAGCAACCAAGAAGGGAGAAATTAAGGTCGGGAGGGTGGCAGAGGAGGATTGAGGGTCAGTATTGTAGCTGGGGAGGGGGATGGCTAGAGATGAATCTTGCCCACTGATGATACCCTGACATTCTTGCCTGGACATGGTTATTTGGAGGGAAAGGGGAAGTGGAAGGATGCAGGGCAGAGAATGCTTACCCCATGATTCTACGCTCCGAGTAAGCCTTTCGCTTGTTGGTGAAGGGGGCAGCAAATCCCATGAAGGAACGGCTCCACGGTAAGCCAGCCTCAGCCGCCAAGATCTGGGCAGCCCGAGGCAAGAGGAGGCTGCAGGAGGTCAGAAACCTAAGACCAAAGGAAAGAGGAGCCAACCTTATAGTTCTTTGTAATCCTCTATCATTTCTAGGTGAAGGGGAAGAATAGTGCATCCCAGACGAAGGTCGTCCAGACAAGCTTTCCCCCCAGCACCTGCTGCAGCCCGCTAGGCTCTCTCTGGCCAGGGAGTCACGAGTGCAAAAGGTCGAGGGCAGCTAAGGACAGGGCTGGGGGCGGGGTGGAGGAGGATGAGAAAAAGCGGGGTGTGTGGGAAGTGCTAGTTGCTTTTGACTGGGCCTACGCTACTGCTGAAAGCTAAGACTCTAAGGAAGCATCACAGTCCCCGGGGACCCCAGGGCGCCCGCAAGGGCCAAGAAGAGGTTGGACACTCACCCCGAGGACTTCCCTTCTCGTACAGCTTGCAAAAGCATTCTCCAAAGCTCTACATTAGCTCCCAGGGCATGATTGCTGCCAGTCCCCGCTGCGCCTGCATCCCAGTATAGCACCCCTCCACCGCGGAACCCCGGGGTCCGCAGCGACCCGGTGCCCTCAGCCGCGATCGCCCGCACCTCCCTCTCACCTCATTGGTCGCGGCGGCGGCGGCAGAGGGCCTGGGGGCGGGGCCGGGCGCGTGCCCGGGCGGAGGGAGAGCCGGCAGCAGCGCTCGGCTGCTGCGCGCGTCCCAGCCGGGACCCGCCGCGAGCCCGCCCAGGCCATGCGCGCGACCCTGCCCGCCCCTCTAAGTTCTGACACCGGCTGCGCCCTCCTCACTCCAAAGGAGGAGCAGCAAGAGGCAGCCGCCTGGCTGGTTGGGGGCCTCCGAGCGCAGGGGCGACGGGAGGCGGCAGCACCTCTCGCCTTGCTCCCGTGTAGGCTGCCGGGTAGGCTAGAACTGAAGCCGGGATCGCTGCTCCCGCAGCTCTCGGTACCCCCACGTCACGCTGTTGCCATGGCTCGGGCCTGGGAGAGGAAGGAAGGGGACAACGCCGCCTGTCGGGAGATGTAGTTCATACCTCTGGTGAGAAAGGGCGCTAGGGTGTGCGTTTGAGAAGTGCAAAGATGGTTCAGGGGACTGAGGTCGCCTGTGGTCACAGGACCCGATACGTAGGCACAGAGGCGACTTCGTGGGCGTGTCTACAGCAGATATCTGTAGATCCTCTGAACGCCGCTCTTAGAGCCTTAGGTTCTCTGGGGGGGGCAGAATGAATAGGATAAATGTATATATGAAAGGGAGTTTATTAAGGAGAATTGCCTCAGGATCACAAGGTAAAGTCTCACATTAGGCCGTCTGCAAGTTGAGGACCAAAGAAGCCAGTGGTGGATCAGTCCAAGTCCTAAAACCTCAAAAGCAGGGAAGCCGGCAGTGCAGCTTTCAGTCTGTGGCCAAAGCCCTGAGAGCCCCTGGCAAACCACTGGTGTAAGTCCAAGAGTCCAAAAGCTGAAGAACTTGGAGTCTGATGTTCGAGGGCAGGAAGCATCCAGCACGGGAGAAAGATGAAGGCCGGAAGAGTCAGCAAGTCAGCTTCTTCCCCCTACTTTTACTTTTATTTATTTATTTATTTGAGACGCAGTCTCACTCTTTTGCCCAGGCTGGAGTGCAGTGGCATGATCACGGCTCACTGCAACCTCCACCTCCCAGGTTCAAGCGATCCTCATGCCTCACCACCTACCCCAGCCTTGCCCCCGCCCCAGTACCTGGGATTACAAGCATGCGCCGCCATGCCCAGCTAATTTTTGTATTTTTAGTAGAGATGGGGTTTCGCCATGTTGGCCAGGCTGGTCTTGAACTCCTGACCTCAGGTGATCCACCCGCCTCAACTTCCCAAAGTGCTGGGATTACAGGTGTGAGCCACCGTGCCCAGCCCTGCCTACTTTTTCTAGCGTCGCTGGCAGCGGCTTGGATGGTGCCCACCATTGAGACTGGGTCAGCTTCTTCCAGTCCACTGACTTAAATGTTAATCTCCTTTGGCAACACTGTCACAGACACCCAGGAACAACACTTTGCATCCTTCAAACCAATCAAGTTGACACTCACTATTAACCATCACAGAGCCTTTATCATATTCGGCCTTGTTTATAGTTAGAAGCACTGTTCATCTTTGTAGCGTCCACAAGTGGTTAGTGCTGTGTTCTACATTTTTGGGAAAGGAGATTAACATTCCAAGCTCTGAGCTAAGGCTGCATAGTTTTCACCTTTAATATTTATAGAAAGAAGTCAAGGTAGGAAGAACCAGATATTCTTAGGACAGAGAACCATCTTTGTCTGAAAAGTGTGCATTTGATGAAGAGTGAGACCTCATGGACAGAAACCCAGGCAAGTAAATATCACTATACTGCTTTTCATGATTCAAGAAGAAAAAAAAATACTCTTGGGTGAGCACGGTGGCTCACTCCTGTAATCCCAGCACTTTGGGAGGCCGAAGCAGGCAGATCACTTGAGGTCAGGAGTTCGAGACCAGCCTGGTCAACATAGTGAGACCTTATCTCTACTAAAAATACAAAAATTAGCCAAGCGTGGTGGCGAGCGCTTTTAATCCCAGCTACTCGGGAGGTTGGGCAGGAGAATTGTTTGAACCCAGGAGGCGGAAGTTGGAGTGAGCTGAGATTGTGCCACTGCACTCCAGCCTGAGCAACAAAGCAAGACTCCATGAGAGAAAGAAAGAGAGAGAGAAAGAGAGAGAGAGAGAAGGGGAGGGGAGGGGAGGGGAGGGAAGGGGAAGACAAAAGAAAGAGAAAAAATGCTCTTAATAAAAGTCAGGTGAATAAAAGAAAAAAGGAGAAGAAGAAAGAAATCAACAATTAGAAAGAGACTGGGCTAGGTACAGTGGCTCATGCCTGTAATCCCAGCACTTCGGGAGGCTGAGGTAGGAGGATCACTTGAGGCCAGGAGTCCAAGACCAGCCTGGGCAACATAGAGACCCTTGTTTCTCCAAAAACAAAAGAGAGACTAGAATTAGGTGGGTGCAAAAGAATGGTGGTGCCTGCTGTTGAATTTCAAGAAATTCATGCTATTACAGTACAAACCTTTCCTCTGCTTGCTTGCTAAATCTTCAGTCAAGCTCTCCACTTTCAGGAAAGCTTTCCCTGAGAAGTGTTTTGTGTGGTGCTTATGTGGAGGGACAGGGGATAAAGTAAGTAAGACTGTGTTGCAGCCAGGCATGGTGGCTCATACCTGTAATCCCAGCACTTTGGGAGGCACAGGTGGGTGGATCACCTGAGCCCAGGAGTTTGAGACCAGTCTGGGCAATATGGTGAAACCTTGTCTCTACAAAAAATACAAAAAAAATTAGCCAGGCATGGTGGTACATGCCTGTAATCCCAGCTACTTGGGAGTCTGAGTTGGATCACCTGGGCCCAGGAGGTTGAGGCTGCAGTGAGCCATGATTGCACCACTGCACTCCAGTTTGTGTGATGGGAGTGAGACACTGTCTCAAAAAAAAAAAAAAAAAAAAAAAAGACTGTGTTGCAATGCTGTTCTAATTAATGTGGAACAGACATCTGGTCTAGAAAGAGGGTGGTTCTTGGGCCTGGCGCGGTGGCTCAGGCCTGTAATCCCAGCACTTTGGGAGGCCGAGGCGGGCGGATCATGAGGTCAGGAGATCAAAACCATCCTGGCAACATGGCAAAACCCCATTTCTACAAAAAATACAAAAAAAAAAAAAACAAAGCCAGATGTGGTGGTGCGCACCTATAGTCCCAGCTACTCGGGAGGCTGTGGCAGAGAATCACTTGAGCCCAGGAGGCAGAGGTTGCAGTGAGTGGAGATCGTGCCACTGCACTCCAACCTGGGTGACAGATGGAGACTCTGTCTCAAAAAAAAAAAAAAGAGAAAAAACAAAAGGCCAGGCAAGGTGGCTCACACCTGCAATTCCAGCACTTTGGGAGGCCAAGCAGTTGAATCACCTGAGGTTGGGAGTTCAAGACCAGCCTGACCAATATGGAGAAACCCCGTCTCTACTAAAAATACAAAATTAGCCAGGCGTGGTGGCACATGCCTGTAATCCCAGCTACTTGGGAGGCTGAGGTAGGATAATTGCTTGAACCCTGGAGGTGGAGGTTGCAGTGAGCCTAGATGGTGCCATTGCACTCCAGCCTGGGCAACAAGAGCAAAACTCTGTCTCAAAAAAAAAAGTTTGAGCCCATATTCTCTGGATTTCAAGTAAGTAAGGGCCATTGGGTGATCACCAAAACCCATTTTATATAAACTCTTCTGCCTCCATAGCAGTTAGTACTACCAATTCAAAATAATTATTGACCAAATGAATATGTTTTATTATTTATCTATTTAATTTTTGAGACGGGGGTCTCACTCTGTCACCCAGATTGGAGTGCATTGGTGTGATCTCGGCTCATGCAACCTCTGCCTCCCAGGCTCAAGTGATCCTCTCACCTCAGCCTCCCAAATAGCTGCGACCACAGGAGCACACTACCACATTTTTGGTAGAGACAGAGTTTCATCATCTTGCCCAGGTTGGTCTCGAACTCCTGAACTCAAGCAATATGTCCATGTTGGCCTTCCAAAGTGCTGGGATTACAGGCGTGAGCCACCATGCCTGGACTGATGGGCACATGACCTTAAAGGACAGATTTACTCTTTATAATCCCACTCTTGTGTCCAGCCCCACCCCACTCTGACTAAGGGCTTATACATATGAGACAGCTGCTTTGAATGAGGAGTAAGGATCTGGTTGGTTAAAAGACAGAAATTAACTGGGATGCATAACTGAACTGTGACCTCATTATCACTCTGCTTTAACCAAGTTGACTGCTACAGAATCTCCAAGGTCCAATAGGCCTGCCAAGCCAATTTGCTTGCTATCCCCTACTAATTAGTTTAACTAATCACTGCCATTTAAACTTTCCTAGTTTAGTCCCTATGCTTGAAACAACCAATTTCCTCCCATGTCTCCACCATTCTACATCAATAACTTCCTTCAAGTACTGACTCAAGACACACCTCCTCCAGGAAGACCCCGTTGACTGAACCCTTCCTTCAACATTACTCTGAACGCATACTGCCATGTAATCTAGCATGTATCGTATATTCTGTAGTTGTTTAACATGTATATGTATGTTCATCTACTAAGTTATAAGCTCCTCATAAAGAGACACCATTACTTCTAATTTTTGACCTCCCAACCAGTTAGTACAGGGCTGTACATCGGATGAGTCCTCACATTTAGTCCTCACATTTGTCAGAAGAAGGAAAACTGAGGCTTAAAAATAGGTAGCCATCTGTCTAGAGTTACCCAAAAATGAATGCAGTAGTTCAATCTTGAAGGACTGTCCATATAAGAGGGTTTTAACACCACTTCTGGCCTCCTCCTCCCATACCCTGTGTATCTCCCTGAGCCCTGGTAGTATCAGTGTTCCCTACATCAAATCCTTTTTTTCCCTACTGGGAAATCCTCTTTCAGTGCTCTAAATAATATTAAAAATAACTCTTCTAGCCCTTCCTCCTCCCTCTAGTTTCCCAGAGAACCAGGCTGGCAACATCTCTTGTTCACCTTCATCCCCTAGCCAGACCCAGGCACGTGACCCCAGCTCAATCCCTGACTCCAATTCCTCAGGTTACCAAGAGTTATTTTGGGCAATGGATACCATGTATGCCCCTCCTTCTCATCCTCTGGGCCATATCCTAGTTTAGCCCTTCCTGGAAGGCCCATAATACCCAATAGCCAAGTCCCAACACCCATACCCATTTGATCCTTTGCTACCTCTGGTTTCTGCTGCTGCTTCATCATCATCATCAATCATCAAATATTAAATGCCTGTTTATACTGATATTCTGGAGCTTAAAAAAAACAATACCTTTTCCTTCGGAAAGCTCAAAATAATTTTTTTTCATTAAAAAAAAAAAAATTTAAAGTCCATGTTAGAGAAGACTCTGACTCTGGCTTACAAGGAGTTTAAAATCCACTTTATGGCCAGGCGTGGTGGGTCACACCTATAATACCAGCATTTTGGAAGGCC